CTTCCTGTCTGGTGCCAGGTGCCACCTGCGGTCATGCACTTGTTTTCTCCACACCTTTCCTGGCTGCTCTCCACGAGTCCATCTTTGCTGCGCTCCTCGCATTGTTCAGGGCGGTGTGGATGGTAGAGACAGCATATGTTCAGACAGTCCTGGAGGCCGCTTCCGCTGGTTTATTTTTAACTTTCTGTCCTTTCCCGACTTAAGTAATTGCTCTGGGAAGAAGCTATTATCTGTTTTAAACTGTGCACATTTAACCTCCCAGCCACCATAACAAGTGTTTATTTAAAACAACCACAGTAGCGTAGCATAGTGTAATTTTCACGTGCAGCCCACTGAATTCCTAGCTGTTCGTGCTAGCCCTCCTCTTCCTTGGTTTGGGGAGGCATAAACATTTTCAGTTACATTGCACGGTCGTCAGTTTAATGAAGTAACTGTCTGCTAAATGGGCTTAAATTCTAGGTTGCCCTGGGCAAGTCTTCAGTCTTTGGCAACTTGCCTGACCTGGCATACCTCATTACTGTTTAGGAGTACAGTGTCTCAGACAGCGCCTCAGAACAAGGCCTGTGTGGCTCTGCTGTGGTCCCCACAGCGTTCAGGAGCTGCCCTGTTTATTCCTGTCTCTCCAGGACCTAGAACAGCGTGTACCACAGGTAGCACCTGAGACATTGGTTAAGTCAGTCACCTAACACACAGTGACTGCGGTGCCCGGAATAGGGGAGTGAAGAACTCCACTGAGCCAGAAATTCCTTCTGCTGGGTCACACGTGTTATTAAGTGTGCCTCGCAGATGACAGATAGTTTCTAAGTGTCTTTTGCAGAAGAAATACTGATCTAGCACTCAGACATCCCACAGTGACCTCAGATTATACTCATAATAATGAAATAAATTTGATCTCTTTCCATTCGGTCTGCCAACAGCATTTCTGGCTGGCTCATAAGTACAAAGGAGAGATGGAAATTAATGCTTCGTCTCTTGGTTGTGTATTTGAATCAAACTATGGTTAAGATGACTTGGGCCTTTTCAGTTTTCCCAGCGAGGAATGCTCAAGGCGTTTTCTTCTGCAGTTCGTCCTGATTCTGAGAAAAAGCGGTCTGAATTGACTTGTTTCTCCTTGAACATTCTCGTATGGCTGACCTAAAGAAGAGCTCTAAAAAAAGAGTGTATCTTGTTTTTACCATATAATTTTCCATATGGATTTTTAAAGATTTTTTTTTAACAAATGCTGTAGAATTGAAGTGTGAAACATGTCTCAGAGATACTTCGTTTTGCATACTATCTCATTTTACACACGATCCCTTCTTGTAGTTAAGGAAACAGAATAAAAGTAGGCCTAGTAAACGAGGAAGACTGTCTCAGTGGATAAGTGTGCTTGCGACTGAGCCTGAAAATCTGACTTTAATCCCAAGGCTCACATGGTGGAGGGAGAGAATCAACCCCTGCAAGTTGTCCTCTGACCTCCACGTGTGCACTGTGGCACACACACATGTGCTTGCAGGCACACACATGCACACACTAAATAAATAAATGAAAAGAGGAGGAGGGTATAGCTAGAGGCAAAGGATGAGACACAGATCCAGCTTTTGGCCAGTACTTTGTTGCCTCGTTGAATAAAAGCAGAAAGATAGAATCCAACATCCAATCGTATGACCAGCATTCTCTCCTTGTGCTGGTTTTCCTTTATCCAAGTCTTTGCAGAGATTGAAGTGCTAAATTTTCGGTCAGGCCACTGAAAATGTTCTGTGTGTCGCTGATTCTAATGAAGTGACTCACCACGTCAGCCATAGCTTCTGGGAGCGCATCCTGAGATGTGCTGGCTCTCTTAAGCTCATGGGGGGACTCCTAAAAACCAGGCCCTTTATTCAGAACAGATTTAAGGAGTGTTTACATTCCATGCAGGATATGCCATGGGAAGCACTTCTCATACAGCTAGGTCAGCTAATGTCAGGAAAGTGCTTTGTTTTCACAGTTGAAACATTCTCATAGTACAGTATTAGTGCTGATTAAAGGAAGGTCGGATAACATTGTCAGCTTTTCTGAAGCCAGCTGCCTTTTCATTTAAAAAAAATCAATTTTTTTTTTTTACCCACTGTTACTCATGTCGAGAGGTTAAAATGGCGTAAGTATCTAGTTTTGCGAAATGTATTCTCATCTTACCCATAACCATAAATTCTTGAAAGCTAAAGTAGAGTTATGCATCATGCTGCCTTGAGTGCCTCCATATGTAACAATTTGCATGATTGTTTCAATGTCTCGGCCTCTGGCCCTGCAGTTCTCTTCCCTTGTACAGCTGTTTCAAAAGTCACAGCATTCCTCAGGCCGCAGTCACCATGCAAACAGCAGCTGGGGAGTTTAAGGGAAGGGTTTTAGAAAATAATTGTGTCTTCATTAAGTTGAAATGTTGAAAACATAGCACTGCATCTAAGCGCACTGCAAATTTTCCTAAGTGCTTAAAACCCCGTAAGTCTCTCTGTTCAAAAGACAGGAGACAGGATGATTCAGTCTGCCATGGGATGGAGCCGAACACCTTTGCTCAGGTCGCTCAGCAGAAGAGGTGGGTCCAGAGCCAAGGGGCACATTAGGGAGCGTGTCAGGGAGGCTGTGGAAGCGCCTTCTTGGGCATCCGGTCGACAGTAATTATGAATTTGCCTAGTTGGGAGCAGTGCAGAATGCAAACCTGCTTCTCTGTGGTTATCGGAAATGTGCTGTGAAGGAGGGGGGCAGCACTCTTGGTTTTCTCTTATAATATATTCTCAGGCAGCCTTTGAGATAAAACATGCAGGAACAGTAGGAGGATGCTCATTGTTTAGGAGATGGAGAATCAGTGTTTAAGTTTAAAACCCTAGTGCTCAGTCTGTAACTCATGCTGACCCCCAGCAACAGTGCTACAGAGGGCGTTCCTCTACACTAGACTGTGGCCTCTTAAAGCAGTTTGAACCTCCTCGTCCTCCTTTTTCTCTCCCTTCACTTGTGGGTCGGCTGTGAGCTGGATTGGTGTTTTCATTAAGGTGTTATGCTGGGCTGAGGCTAATCTCTGTAAAGTGTTAGCATTTGTTCTTCCTCTCCGCTGTCATCAATCCTTCACACTCATACCAAACCCCTAATGTATCAGCAGGCTTCCCAGAGTGCCTGGTTCAAATTACCTTCGCTTTTGGTAAACTCTGAACCTTCAAGCTTGGTGTTTTCAACTGCCCCCTGTGGATCCCGGGAAGCCTCTCTCTGCACCCCGCCCTGCCAGTCTCTCACTTTATGTCCTGTAACCAGAAGCCTGTGAGGAGCTTGCTCATTATCCCAACTGCGCCCACCATCCTTCTGTCAGCAGAGGAAGTGTGTGTGTGTGTGTGTGTGTGTGTGTGTGTGTGTGTGTGTGCGCGCGCGCGCGCGTGTGTGCACGTGCGCATCTGGCCGGTAACATGTGCAAACTATGAGAAAGGGGTCCGAGCTCGGAAGCTGTAGGCTTGTGTTGCTTTTCTACAATGATGACACTGTGAAGCTAGTTTTTGTTGTTGTTGGTTGTTGTTGGTTTTTTTTTCTGAACACTCCTTATTCTGACACTACTGAAATAAGCACACCTGCCTTCAAGGTACATGCTACAATTAACTGATTTCTTCAAGTTTTTCTCCCTTGTTTTCATATCAGAGTAGTTCAGATTTCCTTTAGAGTTTTGATCTTCTCTCACCGCATTTATTCTCGCTCACTTCTGTAAGTGCCTGCCTTAGATCCGCGGTGGTAAGGGCTGTCCATTTTTACGGAAAATGGATTCCGTTCTAGGCAGACCCGTGACGCTGTCACACTAGCACCGTTGAGTTGCCACACACGGATGTGAGACTGAAACTTTATTTTGCTTGAAAACTGACTTTTGCTCGCAAGGATGGTGCTCCCATTGATGGTTGTTCATGTGACTCCTAATAGTGTTTCTGACTAACGTCCCCGTTACAGTGTTGTGAATCATCTTTCTAAGCGTTATAGCAAACACCTGCGGGATTTTTTGAAAAGTAATGGAAAAACTAGAAAATGTCCTTTTCTTCAGAAGAAGTGGCCTACCGTTAGTCCAGGTTGCCTCTGCTAAATAAGACTCGTGAATACCTACTGCAAACCTTGATTTTCTGTTTGGCAAAGAGCCTTAGGCTAATGATGGTGAACTGATACTGGAGATACTTGAAATTAAAGATACTCACTTTGAAAGTCACTTAAACTGTTCTTATTTTTCAGAGCGTAATAGACACGCTTTCATTTTCTTAAAAATCATGTCAGCATTTCGAAAAAATAGCCACAAAAGAGAAAAAAGGCATCTGTGCATCTTAAGTCTCTGTAGCAGCAGGAACTCGGGTTCTTTTGCATAGGTGCTGGCGACCTGCCCTTGGGTCATCCCAGCGTCTGACCTGCGACAGACAGTCCCGGTATTCCCTCTACTGAGAACTTAGCACAGCCTGAGCACCCGCGTTGTTCATGTATGGAGCCAGGACTGTGTTCTCAGAGATGCTTTGTGAAAGGTAGTTAAGCACATTGTATTTATAGATTATGCCTCACGGGTTTCTAATCTAATACTATGAAATTTAAAATATTATCATGCTCTGTTATTTGAAATAAAGAAGCCATATTGAAAACAGCAAAATCCCATGTGAATCACCTGTATAACTTTTCTGAAAAAAAGATGTTTTTCCTTAGTTACCCTCCTTAAATTCTCCTTGGATTGATCAAAGGAGACCATAATGAGCTTAGGCCACCACACTCTGTTTTATTGTAGTATAGATTAAAATGTACTATTTTGAATAGTAAAGATGCTAACAAATTTTTGCTGTTTTCAGTACTTTTTTATTTCTAAGATTAATATACAATTACCAATTGTATTATTTTTCCCTTTCCGTGCCTCCCTAGAACTCCTCCTAAGTGCCACACCATCTCCCGTCCTACTCTCTCCCCTTTGAAATCAGTGTTTAATTTCCTATAGTACCGACATCTCTGTTGTTATGGTGCTAGTTTGGTTTGGTTTGTCTTTTCAGTGGGTACACCTTACTACATGTCTCCAGAGAGAATACATGAAAACGGATACAACTTCAAGTCTGACATCTGGTCTCTTGGCTGTCTGCTCTATGAGGTAGGCACTGTTGATAATTCTGTACATTGATACAGTTTCACTTACGTTATATATCCAGTATTACAGTTTACAATTTTTTTTTCTGGATGATATTTTGTAGTCAGCTTTCATTGTGCTGACTTAATTCATTAGGCAATGACTAATTATACTGTCCACATGTTAATTTTGTGTAATATATCTTCATTTTTTGACAAAGACTTTATACTAATTTTACTATAATGCTGCTCTCACCATGTGTGTGGAGAGATAAACATGTGTGAAACTTTTCAGTGCCTTGCAGGAGACTAATGCCATGGATTTGAGACATGAAAATATTTATCCTTATCAGTATTTTGTTTCCTATTTACTCAGGCAAAATGCATCTTTAAGGACGGCTTGCTAATAGTTAAGCCTTGCCAGTTGTCACTTAAGCTTGAGAAGTCTGTTCTTAGCACAGGAGGATGGAGTCCCATAGTATGGTTCTCTGTATATTATACAGTGATGTAGTCTTGTAGCTGCAGAAAAGGGCACCTAAGTAACACAGTCTCCATCATCCTCCGGAGCAACGACATTGACAGTATCCCAAGGTAGGGACTCCTAAGGCAGAATTTTAATTATTTGACAGGAAAATGCAGAGTCAAAGATGCGAATTAAAAATCAGTCAGCATCTGAGTAAGTTTTATTGAATTGAGAAACACAATCCATGGAATTATTTTTTGCGTGTTTCAAGAAAGAAGTCTAAAGTTTGTGTCTGTCTGTTGGGCTTTGCTGACTGGTTACAGATTCCTCAACTTAGGGCAAGAGACTCTTCTGGTTTTATGCTTTCTCTGATGACTGACAACGACTCGAAGAGTTTAACGTACTCTGTGCACTCACCAGTTTGGATTCTGAAATACTATGAGTCAGTGAAGTGGCCAAACATGTTCAGTTGTGTATCTGTGGGACAGTGAGGGATCCATGCTGCTTGTGTGTCTTTATGTGTGCTTGGGGTGTCAAGAAGTTTGGCTTACTCTGAATTCTGATGATGCTTTTTGGGGGGCAGTGTTGATAAGAATTGACTTGATAGTATTACTGCTGTAATATTTAAAAGTTAACCACTTCATATGTTTAAAAAAAATGTTTTAACCAGGCGCGTCAGCGTTAGAGTCGTTCAGGTTTTATCAAAGAAATGTTTTTCCTTTAAACAACCTAAAAGTAGATAGGAAATGAGTTTCTAATAATGAGATTAAAGTTAGCCATGGCAGCAGAAAAGCTGAGTTGACATAGTGTTAGAAGAAGAAGTTTACTCAATTCTTGCAACCTTGTGTCAAAGTTGAAGCAGTCATCCACATTGTACAGTTGCATTTGAGAGGCAGGATCTGTTTTTATGTATGCTTCACATGGCCACCAAGATGCGAGCTCTGTCTGAACATTTCCATGCGCTCAAGGCTTACATGTTGTGCTAATTTCAAGTGTTTACCATGTTCATGGTGGGATCCCTTTCAGTGCATTTTCTCAAATCCTTAATGCAGGAGTTGAGAACTTTTAAAAAGATTGGATCTAGCATTATTTTTGGTAGATTATGATGGAAAAAAAACCTCTATTGGGTGCTACAAACAATTTCAAAAAACTAAATTACACTAAAAAGTAATGGAGAAAATATTGAATATGAAGATAGATTTAGTGCAATTTAGTTTTTCAAAATTGTCTCTAGCACCCAATAGAGGGTTTTTCCCCCCTATCATAATCCAACAAGAAATTACTCTTAACAATGAAGGAGTAGGAAGCCCTTTTTTAGAACGTATTTGAAACTCGGGAAATTAGACTTTCAAATATTCCCGAAACCTTTGAAAAAACTCGGAGTGCAGTTTTAATTGATATGCAACAAAGTAGACTTTACTAATTAAAATCAAGATGCTGAGCTTTGCTACATGGACCTTTACATGGAAAAGTGGGTTTTACACATTTCCTTTATTGTTCAGTGCGGCAATCGCATCCTTACAGGGTTGTAGGTTGGTGGCTTACAGTTCAAAAAAAAAGAGAGCTGCCACCAGCCCCGAAGACAGACAGTGGGCTTTCGTCCCTCAGACACCCCCAGAATACTAATGAGGAAAGTCAGACCCTGGAGGTCAGGGAGCGAGTCAATCATCCTAGCGATCGTCTCAGTGTGGAGGATCAAATTAGCCTGAAAAATTCAGCTGCTGGGAGGAGAGGGCGAGCAGCTGTCAGGGGCAGCGCCGAGATGCACTAATGAACCAGATGAATAGTGCAAAAGCTTGAAAATAAAAACAGGACAGTTGACATTTTTCATCTGTCAAAGCAGGAGATGCATGAAAATATACTATTCCTGTTTAACTCCTTAGGGGACATTCAGATTTTTTTTTTAACACTCTGCAGTATTGAGACAAAAGTAGTATAATGAACTCCTAGCATCTGATAGAGAATGAGTGTACATTTACTTAAGGCCTTACAAAGGTGGGGAGACAGTAGCTTATATCTACGATCTATTTTTAAGGTGGCATACTTAACATTTGATTTTTTTATCATATAGTGTCCTTGCATTTTAAATTTAAACATTGTTTATGATGGTGAATCCTCCATTAGAAATTCCTGCTCGGTGTTGTGTATTTAGGGCATTCAGGTTGTTATTTACCTCATGTTGTCATGGGGAGCTATTCCCAAGGTTGCTCTGTGTGGGTGTGTGTAGGTTTTATATGAAGCATACACTAGGTAAAACTGTATGTAGCTGCTTTCTAGGTGGGGTTTCCAGCCCTGTCCCTGCCCGGCTGAGGCGCTGAAGGAGTTAACACCCTGTCTGGAGCCCAGTAGACAGATGAGAGCCATTTTCAGCTTGTCCTGTCCCCACTGACGCTCCCTGAGTAGCACAGCATGGACCAGCGTGTTTCACACACACTCTGTCTGTCTGGGGAATGTACACATTGTCCTTCCAAAATCAAACTTATTAGCACATGTAGAAAAGGGTGACTGACTTTGGGGCAGCTTGGCACTCCATGTTGTATTCTTGCGGCTGCGGCTCAGAGATTTAGAAGGTTTTGAACAGGATGCGAACATTTGAAATTGAATTTTTAGTTTGTAACCTTGCTTTCCAAGTAGTTGCTTGCGCTTTTAAATGTCAAGTTAGGACCTTGTCGTAAAATGCATTTCAATTCAGTAATGTCTCTTTTAGAGTGGTCTGTCCTCTCAGTTATGTTTTTCTGCATAAAAGTTACCTTTGGATACCTTGAATTGCATCGTGGAGTTGTGGATATTTTTAAAGCACATTTAATGTTTCTTGAGACATTGTCAAAAGAAAGTTATGATTTAAACTATTTAAGGATCACTTACAATATTTAAAAAGTCTCTTCTCTGTTAAGATAATCTTTTCCCTAAATATATTATCCTATGAATGATGAATGGCATGCATTCTAGTCTCTAAGTCCTTGCTAAATTTAATGTAAGTTTTAATGTCAGTTTTTTTGTTATATTGGACCATTGCATAGTTGGGCCATACCATATGATATCTGTTTTGTCATGAGATATGCTAGTTGTTTTTAATAACTATGAACACATACATACACACACACACACAAATATCTTCCATTTCTTAGTATTGTTTTATGTTGTATGAGACATATCAGCTATTTCTCTTTAGGAATTTTAAATGTTACAAAAATAAAATTGTTTCAAAAATAAAATTAATATTTTTAGCATTTAATAATAGAAAATGATAATCATCAAAATCAAAATGCTTTAATAACTTTATTCAAAGTAATTATAATTATTTTCTACCCCAGTGTCCTATACCTGAAGAAGTCACCTTTAAAGTTACTTTGTAAGTACATCAGTTTCACTGTGAGTGTTTTACAGATGGCTGCATTGCAGAGTCCTTTCTATGGTGACAAAATGAATTTATACTCTCTGTGTAAGAAGATAGAGCAGTGTGACTACCCGCCTCTCCCGTCAGATCACTACTCAGAGGAGGTAAGTGATCTTCAGCCCATAGGCTCGTTCATTTTGTTAACTAAGGAATCTTACCTCCTTCAGAATACAGATGAACGGTACAGGTGGCCGGAAGAGCACTTTTCATTTGTTTCCGTTCTCTCAGAGGCTTGCCGTGTGATTAATATAACAACTCGTGTGATTCCCAATGCGGAATGGAGCACAACACAGCGTGTTCAAGAGCCATAGGTACTTGGCACTCCTCATGTGGAGTCAAGCCATCGAAGGGAAGAAGGGCTGTTCTGAGTTGTGGCAGGCTGAGTCCTCAGTCCCGACCTCTCAGACATGAAAGCTGACTGAGGTAGAACTTCCTTCCTCGCGCTTGCTCTCCCAAATCTGCGCTGTGTACCTCACAGCCACGTGCTCTGAACTTTTCCTTTCTTACTTCTCCTTGGACAATACCTGTGCTATCACCCCCATCCCTGCTTCCGCCAGATTCTTCTGGGTAAGGATTTTCAGGTTACCATTGTAGACATGTTTATAAAATACATTGGATAGGACTGGCAATTTTCAAAGACTTTGAGATCTGAATTCTTGCTTGCCTTGCTAATGCACTGGAATGAGTTGTTCTGGCACTTACCCAACATCCAGCTTTTCATTAGACAGGATCTTCCATTTTTATCCTAATACATCATGATTATTTGAGGGGGTCGCGTAGGACGAGCAAACAAAGGCTCTTTGGGGATTCTCATCTGGGACCTGCCCGGAGAAGCAGTAAAGCCTTGGACATCTCATCTCACGAGCAACAGATATTTTTGCCCCAGGAAAATGGAAAGGAGCAAAGGAAAGATATAGAACAGTTATGGTGTTCACTTATTAAGTAATCTTGGCATACTTTCTATTGTGAAATGAATAGCCTCTGGTCTTAGTATTGTACAATGAAATTTAAGTCCACATAGCTTGAATAATAAACATCTAAAGATTTTGTTAACTATATGTGGGTCATGTGTGTCCCTAGAATATAATCAGTACCTACTCCTCTAATAGTTTTGCTACTGATAATGAATGACGCCTCCATTTTTGCCTCGTGACATTGTATTTAGATAATTAGAACCTGCTCTTCGGAGGCAGTGATGATAATGCTCTTATGTTAGCCATCTTTAATTACTATTTTGGGTATGGAATATAAATACGGCATTTCACAAACCCAACTTCAGAACTATAGGCCTGGAAATACAGTAGAGTGTGAACAATAATGCAAAACGATAGCAAGAATGTCAGGGGCCTTCCTTTGTTGTGTCATTCCTGCTGTCTGCTGCTTTCCGTGAAGCACATGAATATTTCACATATCTGCATCCTCATCCCCTATTCTTCTTGACTAATTTTCAGACTGTCTGCATTTGCATTTCACATGGTAGCTGATTAGGAGATGCCGAGTGCAGCAGTGAAGCCTCAGCAGGCGGTTACCATGGTGACCTTCAGCAGGATTTTAATGATGATACCACTAGTGGTTCGTTGAAGTCGGCCTGCCTGCAGGGCTACTTCACTGCAGCTAAGTGTGAAGTTGGATATGCGGCTTCTCAGCCAAGGGGCAAATATCAAAGTCTGGCCCAGATAGAAGGTCTTCAAGTTGGGAAAGAAAAATAGATTCCACTTTTTACTTCACTCTGTAGAGTTACCATTTCCAAAAAGGGCTATAAAGCAAAACATGCTATATTGTGTGTCTTCCCAAAGAGACACTGCGGTTTCTGGTGTTGGCGAAGTCTCTTGTTAGGCCCTGATGAAACAAGAGGCTGTAGTGCCTTGGTAAACATGGAAAATAATTCTTAAGAAACAAATCTGAAAAACATGCAGTCTGTTTAATGAATGTTGCTTTATTCTGATGAAAAATGACAAGTTCTACAAGACTTTGAAATGCTGATGGTGTTAATAAATATTTGCCCTCCTTAATTAGGAACTCAGTTTGTATATAAACAAATTATTCCATTTCTTTGGTAGCAACGGAGTCCCAAACAAATTGAGTGCTGCCATAATGATATTACTGATGTCTCCAGTGCTTATTATCAAAACTCTTTAATAGTTTAAAAACCCCAAATTGGTATTCGCTAAGTTAGCAGAGAACAGAGACCAATGTGAAGGTAGATGCCAACTTTAGCACTGAATTTGTATGAAAGACTACATCACCGTGTCTTTTAATAGTTAAAACAGTAGATTTCTGTAAGTGAAAAATAAAATAATAATAATAGCCTTCTGAGTATGTTCCCAGCTTTCTAGATTTACTTAGGTACTGATATTTTTTTAAGCGTCCTGCCCACAGAAGATTTAAAAAGGGACACTTCATAGCATGTTATTTGCCAGCCTACCTCAGCAATTGGAGTTGTAAAGAAAATAACCAGATTTCTAAATCCAATCATCCCTTTTAAATTAAAAAAAAAATACTCAAGAGCTTTAAAAAGAATGGGAATTTCCCCCATGATAATCTCCTACAAGAAAGTTACAGTTTAACATTAAAAACCAAACCAATATGCTTTGGAAACCTTAGTATGTACATCATATCTTTTCTTTTAAAATATGGTATCTATACATATAATGTAGGTTCTAGACTGAAATATTTCAGCTATACATGGAAGCTCTTAGAAAATGTATATTATAGCCTTTGTTTCTGATGACTTTGTTTTGTATATATTTGATATTCCTTAGTCCTTTCTTTTTCCTGTATCAACCTTATCCGTGTGTGAATAGAGAATTACAGCACTTGAAACTGGGGCTGAAAACAGCCGCCTTCCCTTCAGTAACTCTCTGTGTAGGTTGTCTAGTGGGTGGTGACAAAGCAAGGCCTTCTTGGGGATTTGCTGTTTGTCAGGAATCCTAAACCAAGCGCCTGCGCAATCTGCCTGCCCTTAGAACTTAATGGTCCTGGACGCATCTTCTTTCCCTTCACTGTGAGAGTGCGTACTGCTAGAAGGCCCATGAATTTTCATGTTTTTAAAGATGCTGCTTCCCCTTTTCCAACTGGCCCCTCTTCTATATTGTTTTCCCTAATTCTTCTCTCCCTACACCTTCGCCTCAGCGGTCATATCTCATGATAGCTGCTGCTTGGTGTATGCTCCTCCCCTTCTACAATGCCAAGCATCTCCAGCAACTCTGCTCTTGCCTACATTTCTAAGGCCTGATGGATTTTAAACCGTGGGTGATGGAGTGATTGAGGAAGTAAACGTGGGTGATGGAGTGATTGATGAAGTAAAGGAGTTGGTATTAAAAAGAGGAAATTAAAAAACAACAACAACAAAACAAAACGAATGGCCTAGTCAGTGGTGACTGAACCAGAGAAACTTCTCAGAAGAATTGCCTAGTGAGGCACGAGATCAGCCAAAGGCATGCCGGGAGATGTGGTAGCTCCCTGTCACTGAAACTTCCCGTGCGGGCTTTCTCCTCATTCTTTTGTACGAGCATTATGAACTTTGAAACATCTGGGTCATTGACTAGGAAATGACATACACTTGGTCCCGATACTTAATTTTTTGAAGAGACGCCAGAATGGTCATCAAAATTATATATTTGTTCTGTCAATCATCTCTTTAGACTCAACAGAAAAAAAAATGGCTAAACATCCAGATATGAGAGATCTAAAAAGTCAAAGAAAGGGCTTGCAGACGAAATGAGGGTGGGGTAATTTTTGTTCTAGAAAATAGCAAAGCAATAGTAGATTGAAGATTTGAAAACAGTGCTTTGAGAAGGAAATAAAAAGCACCTATAGACCCTTCGAAAGATGGTTAATATTCTTTTTATAATGTTGACTGTGTTATTAGAACAGTAAAGCTGAATCGATTGCTATGTCAGTTGTTGCCTAGTCATTTGGTTTGGGGTAACACCAGGCATTGAGCTCAGGGCCCTGTGCCTGTGAGGCAAGCGCTCTGTTGAGGTAAAGAATCTCACTAAGTTATGTGGGCTGAGTTTAAAATTATACCATAACCCTGGGTACCTTTGACCTGGTGATTCTCCTAACTTAAACCCTCAAGTAGCTGAGATTATAGGCCTGGGCCACCAGGCTCAGGTCAGTAATTTTAAATGTATCATGTATAAATAAAATAGAAAATATATTTTCTAGTTATAGTTTGGAAAACTCACTAGCTTCTTAAATAGTCCCTGTCATTTTATGTTAGTCAGTTTTATAGTTCTCAGTTTGCTGTATCAAAAGCAGTCTATTGGAACCACATCTCACAAAATTATCCTTTGAGATGCGGGCCTGAGGGTCGATTCCGCTCAAAGCTGGTGGAAAGTGAGCTAGAAGCTCTTACCTCAGCTATGGCCTGCTTTGCTCTCACCCTGGCCTGTTATCTTCACCGTCATAGCAGGGTAGTGTGCCCTTCCTTGCGCTTGTTCTTTTCTGGCAAGTGAGAGAAATGATTGCAGGAGAGCAGGACTCTATGTGTTTGCTCCGTCCTTCCTCTCTGGCCGTCCTGGGTTTTCACAGCACTGCGGTCTGATGCTTTGCTCACAAGTTAAGGACTGGCAGGAAAGACCTCTTTTTATTCTTCTTGGGACATCCACACACAAAAAGAAATAGAAGTGACAAAAGATAATCTCTTTTGTTCTTGGAACACTGTGTGTGCATGCACGCACACATGAACACACACACCAAAACAGTCATTTTTCAGAGTTTCTAAAATACAAGAGTTATAAAGAGTACTTATTCTTCCTATGATTCATAATCAACTGTCATAATATTTTAATTAAATGAAACTGATTTCATGGATTTTATACGTTGTTGGAGAACATGATACGTTGATATGGCTTTGATAAAACTAAGGTTGCATTTTCAACTTACAGAATCACCCTTTTCCCAATATTTTGTTAAAGAAACTAAGGCACAGGCTTTGTCCCAGCTTCCATACGATCAGGTAGACTTGGTGTGTTGAGAGCAGCGGTGGACTTGAGTTGGCTCGGGGAGGCTCCCTACCTCCCCTGCTTGTGCTGCAGTGAGCTCACAGCCCCAGAAACTGCTCGGGTGTCCACCACAGGCAGCTCCTGAGCTCTGTAGA